GCTTCCCAGGGTCTGGGACAGTGCTCATCCACTTTACAGTTTAGGGCTCTCATTTATTTGACTTGCTCCTTACAGAATGACAAAGTAAGCTACCAGTCCCGTTTAGAGGAACCCATAGAACTCCTGGTTCTGGAAACTTCAGGAAACTGAAGGCTTTTAAAGGTTGTGATGGGGTAGATCCACACATCCGGTTCCCTTCCGTGTAGATGAGTCGTGATCAGAATGTGTTTCATAAATCTCAAGGCCCACTGTGTCCTGAACAAATACATCCCCCTTGCTCATAAAAAGCCTTTAATCCAGGACCCAGTCCAGTCCATCTGGGTTCAACCGTCAGGAGAGAAAGCCACATAAGCTTCTACATAGAGTGGCACATAGCACCGGAAGCTGGGTCTAACTTGACCAAGTGCTGACCTCAGGACCCATCAAGTCCCTTCCTCAGCAGACAGGGACAGATGGCCTTCCTCGGACAATCTGTATGGACACAGTGCAGATGACTTGGTGCGTTATCTCTGACTTCTCATTGTATGTCAGTGGTCCCTAATGCCTTGGGGACCACAGATCCTTTAGTTATTTATTAAAAATCTTCTCTGCCGAGAAACAATCGTATGTGCACAAATATGCCATACCGCATGTCATCTCCAGCCATCGATGACTTTGAAAGTAAATGGGCCCCAGGTCCTGTCATGTAGGAGAAAGCAAGAGAAGAGGCTCTCCCTTAGGGCATCCAAAACGGAACTCAGCTCTGTGGACAACTGGAATTGAACCCAAAAGCTCCACTCGGACGTCTGCCCTCCAGAAACAAAAGCACCTGAAGACATGTTGTTATAAGCCGTCAAATGACAACAGGTGTTGGCCTGTGGGGGACTTCTGGAATGTAACTTCCCGATGATTGGGGGGGTGGGTGGGGGTGAGGGGGCTCTAGCAGGCCTGAGCATGGCTAACATTGCAGACAGGTTTTGCCCTTTTACCATTTTTCCTCTCCCTTTCAAAAAAAAAAAAAAACTTGCTTTCCTAAAGCTAGCCCCCAAGGTCTGTCTGTTCCCTTCCACTGACTCATTCAAGAGACAAAACATCAAGGTTCAACCATCAAAATTCACTGTTTGGCTACTACGTCCAGTTAGGATTACCAGCTCGCCCTAGCCCAGACTCCACCCCTTCTCCCCTCTCCCTCCCGCAGAAGCACCTGCGCTTGCTCTCTTGCTCACTTGCCACTGTGCAGCCTCCTCAAACCCCGATCGTTTCCCCTCCGGGGCAATGCATCTCCTTTGTCGTCTGGGTATGTCCTGGACTGATGCTGGGGGCCGACCTCCCTTTCAGGAGGAGCAAGCATGGCTGTCTAAAGTCAAACTGTTGGTCCCTCTAAGCAAAGGCACGGGCCGCAAGCTCCAGGGGGCAGAGGGATAGCCAGCCAAGGAAGATGTCCCTGTCAACAGGAGCTACACGTCTGGCATGTTAGGGATAAAAGACACATGTCCCACCCAGGCTTTAAGTCCCCCACACACACACACATACACACACCCAGGACCAGAGAGCAGCCTCACTTCCCAAAGCAATCTGGGATCGTATAAGCCTCTGAGAAGAAGGATCTCCTAAAAGCATCTTTCTGGCGTTATTAAAATTCTGTGCTCAGTAGATAATGAGACACTATTTTGAATTCCTATAAAGGGGCACTCTCTGTGGCAAGCCTTTCATGGCCGAGGATCTATCTGGCCCTGGGAACACAGGTCTTGTCCAAACTCCCACTGCAAGGGACAGTAGAGGAACAGAGAATGTATGCGCACATCCTCCTTTGAGGTAGAACTTGCCTTTGAAGGAAATGAATTAAGATCCACAGTCAAAGAATCATTATATAATACATGCTTTTCCCTGGGATCCAAGGGGCAAAGGGGTGTGTGTGTGTGTGTGTGTGTGTGTGTGTGTGTGTGTGTGTGTCACACTGAGGTATTTTGTTGACAGAAAGTATCTGGAAACACTTAGACTGTGATACTTTCTTTGCAGTAAGTCTGTGTAATGGTTTCCATTTGTAACTCACACAGATTGAGCGTGGAAAGACAAAATTGACCACAGCTGGAGGACCACAGCTGGAGGTCTGGGGGTGGCAGTGGTAGCACTGAACGGATTGACCCAGGACACTTCATAGTCATGTACAAATAGAGGATGTGGTTTCAGTTTGAATCCCAGGCTGCACAGAGAGTCCCATCCAAAGAAAGCCCCTAGCATCATTTTAACAGTGTTCTCTGACCCCCAAAGAGAAAACGCCATCCTGAAGTAGTCTGTTTGTCCTATAACCATTCTACTGTTTGCACCCCAACTCAGGGAATGCATACCATCTTGGGGCTGACGTGGAGGCTTTGATTTGTGCAATGACAACTTACATTCAAACCTTCTCTTAATTACTGCCCAGTGAGCTTTCTCCGGATCATGCAGACGCCACGTACCTCTTCCCCCTGCACTTTCTATAGCTGTTGGAGCATATTGGACTCATTTTTTTAAACTATGTACATTTATCGATTGGTGGGGTCACATGTGAGAAGGTCAGAGGACAGTTAACATGAATCCCCATCTCTTTCCACCATGTGAGTCCCAGGGAGGGAACTCGGGTCATCACACTTGGTGACAAATGCCTTTCCCACCTGAGCCGTCTCGCTGGGCAATGGATTCTTCCAGACCTCTGTCCTGGCTAGCTTACTGTCAACTTGATACAAGTTAGAGTTACCTGGCAAGAGGGAAGCATCATTGAGAAAAATGCCTCCATAAGACTGGCCTAGAAGCAAGCTTGTGGGGCATTTTTTTCTTAACTAGAGATTGATGTGGAGGGTCCAGACCATTGTGGGTAGTGCCACCCCTGGGCAGGTGGTCCTGGGGTATGTAAAGAAGCAGGCTGAGGATGCCATGAGGAGCAGGCCAGTAAATAGCATTCTTCCTTGGCCTCTGCTTCAGTTCCTGTTTCCAGGTTCCTGGCCTGAGTTTCTCTACCTTGGCTTCTCATGATGATGGACTGTAACCTGGAAGCCAACTAAATCCTTTCCTCCCCAAGTTACTTTGGGTCATGGTGTTTCATCACGGCAATCGGAACACGCTGAGACCGTCCTTTTTAACAACCCCAAAGAGCAAGATGTCATAGTTTCCCATCTGCTGCCAAAAGAGGGCGTAGGAGAGACACGGAGAGCGAATGCACAACAGCTTAAGTCCCAGGGAGAGGCGAGGGGTTCCATCAACGCTCGGTACGATCTCCGTGGGCAAAGCTAGCAGGTGGAAAACGAAGCAGATGGCCTTGGGACACACAGTGCTGGGCGCGCGGGGACAGCCCTGAGGCTGGGCCACACTGGGCTGGACCATTCCAAACCTCTGTTCTACAATGCCAAGTTCAAAGTGAGCTCAAATCCCCGAGGGGGAACTTCGGATGCCTGTTGACACATTTGGGGCCGCTGATAACTGCTTTTCGGAATTCCTACTCAGCTTTTTAAAAGGGAAGTACAAGTATTTATAGCTGTGAGTGAACAATTTCCTATGGCTCTGCCCTCTGCCCGGCTGTAACTCGGCCAAGTTTGCGCAATGCCCTCCTCACCCAGCCCTGAGCGTGGCAGCTTGGGAGACTGGCCACAGCGGAGCTTTGCCAAGTCAGGCACAATGACCGCACGCGCCGCCAGGCTGGAATCCCCAAGCACACAGAGAAGCCAGGTTACAAAGACTGACCTAGCTCTATCAGCAGCTCAAGGCGGGAGGGGAGAGGCCCCAGACTCTCCTTTCAGTCTTAATGGGACCTGCAGCCTTGCCTCCCCACCAGCCCCCAGCAGAGGGCTTTGAAGACAACCCAAGTACTTCTCGCATTCTGGTTCTCAAGCCCTAAGGGAGACTGTGGAGAGACCTACTGGCCTGCTCTGCACAGAGAGGAACCGAGTACTCTCGGCTTCCCAGAATAACACAGCTGGCTGGGGACAGACTCCAGAGGAGCCATATCAGTCAACGCCTAACCCTGGGCTCCTGCCCATCCCTGGCTCCCTTCCCTCTGAAGAAGGCTGCTGCTCCTGTGAGCCTGGTCACGGCACCGACTTGCTGAGCACACTCCAGCAGGCACTTTTTTGTAGCTCAGATTATTACAACTCCCCTCTGGGGAGGGTTGAGTCTATGTCACAGAACTGCAAAGAGAGGCAGCTTACCTCATTCCCACAGCTACTAAGACATAGAAGAGGGATTGAAAGCCTGATCTAAAATAAGTGAATGAAAACAAAGACAGACAGACAGAAGGAAGGAAGGAAGGAAGGAAGGAAGGAAGGAAGGAAGGAAGGAAGGAGGAAGGAAGGAAAGAAAGAAAGAAAGAAAGAAAGAAAGAAAGAAAGAAAGAAAGAAAGAAAGAAAGAAAGAAAGGAGTCCAACAAATTCAAATTAGAACTACCATTTGATCCAGCTACACCTCTTCTGGGAATCTAAATCAGGCATCCCCGAGACACTTTCACAAGCCGTGTTTACTGAAACCCTATTCACAATATTTGGGTTATAGAATCAGTCTAGATACCCACCTCCAGCTAAATGGACGCTAAAAAGAAATGAGGTAAGTACCAAAAAAAAATGATGATTGTGTCATTTTCAGGAAAACAGATGGACCTTGAGATTCATCTTCTTAAGCAATATAAAATCCCGACTCAGAAAGTCAAAGGCGGCATATATATATGGAATTGAGATTTATGTTATGTGTATTCATGTATAAGGCCGGGAAATAGAGGGTGGGCTATTTGTTAAGGAGGAAGGGGACCAGTGGAAGAAGAGGAGAGACAGAAGGGGGTGATGGGAAAGTGACTATGGGCAAAGCGTGTGATATACATGGATGACTATGTCATCAGGAAACCTATTATTTTGTGTAATAGTTTAAAAAAATCATCCATTGTGCCTAAAACTCTTTGAACCAAACCACGGAGAGGAAAATCGTCCCCTAGACTCCTGAGATCAAGGTCTCTGGCCCCAGAACCCAGCAATAGCATTAAGGAAAGCAAGGACACTACCTCATGGCCACATTGCTGCCATCGATCACTATGGGCCGCAGGTAACTGGCTGGATCTCCGCCAGCCTCTTCCAGGCCTGGTCCCAGGCCCTGCTGGGCAGAGTCCCGGACTCCGCAGCATCCCCGGGGCGTCAGCACTACCCCAGTGCTGTTGGCCGGATCGTCCTGGACCCTCGGGCGGCTACCAGTCTGGATCAGCTCCTGTAGCACGTCGTTGACCAACGCGCTGTCGCCCAGTTTGCCCAGCACCCTGACCACGTCGTCCTGGCTGTAGCCCAGTTTCTGGAAAAACTCCATCTTGCTCCGACGCTCCATAGCGTGCCAGCTGTTGCCTGGCACAGCTCCTACCCTGGGCTTCCTCCTGGCAGAGCTGCACAGGCATGAGCTGAAAAAAAAAAAAAAAAAAAAGCAGTAGTCGGGTGTTTGCTGAGCAGCCTGGCAGCAGGGCCACTGGGTGAGGAGGGCACTCTGCGTGGACTCCTCCCTCCTGGCGTTATCTATCAGGAAATCACGCCTAGCCTGGTCCCCTTGGGGATTTTCAGTTGCTTGGTGTGGCCGGCAAGCCACAGATGCAATCACGCCTCTTTTACTGATGTGTTCTCCGAGGCCTTTGCTCCAGTGTGCCCGTGCAGGAAACACTAGCCAGGGCCCAGGGTGGCAGGGGTGGAATAGGGCACCAAGCCAAGGAAGCCTTTTGGGAGACTCTGTTAGGAGCGAGCTGGTGTCCACTCAAATTTCTGCACGGAACTGGTTAGCGCCAGTACCTCAGGGTGTAGCTGTGTTTAGAGACAGGGCCTTTCGAATCAGGTCCTTGGGGGCACACGGTGCTTCACCCTGCAACAGCTGCGCTACAAGGAGAGGTGAGGCGCTTTAGACCAGACACACACACACACACACACACACACACACACACACACGAATGACCTCAAGAGGGTGAAGGGACTGCCTAGGGAGTGAGGCCTGGGAAGGAACTAACGGCGTCGTTGTCGTTGACACTTGCATCCCGAACTTGCAGCCTCAGAATCCGGTGACTTTCAACTGTGTCAGCCTTCATCTGCCAAGACTGTGGCTGCTGCCGTCTCGCACTGGCTCACCCAGGGGAGAACGCTCACAGAAGAGCCTCCCGGAAAGGCAAGGCTACCCAGGAATTCAGTTCTGCACTCTGGCTCCATTTCCACTCAGATCACACTGAACCTTGAAAGGAAAAGGTCCTGACTCAAATTAGGCTCTTCCTGTGGGGTCACCCAGCATGGCCGCCCTGTGTGTGTGTGTGTGGGGGGGGGGGGTGTCAAGGAAGAGACCATGCCTGGCAGTTGTTTTCAAAAGGGGGAAATGGGAATATTCAGGACACCCTGGGTCTCTGTACTACTCACAAAAAAAACTTGACTTCGAAAATGTCTTAAAAGGTAGAAATAGGCCGGGCGGTGGTGGCGCACGCCTTTAATCCCAGCACTCGGGAGGCAGAGGCAGGCGGATCTCTGTGAGTTCGAGGCCAGCCTGGTCTACAGCGCGAGATCCAGGAAAGGCGCAAAGCTACACAGAGAAACCCTGTCTCGAAAAACCAAAAAAAAAAAAAAAGGTAGAAATAAACTTGAAGCCATAATTACTGTGAAAGATTCAAACAGTGCAGAAGTAGAGGGAAGGTACAACACACGGCCCACACCCCAGTGCCTCTTGTGCTGACCCTGTGTCTGCGTCTCTCCAGGGCTGTCTCTGTGCACCTACTTGCATATTAAAGGAGGATTGTTTCTGGTTTGTTTTTGCATACACGATGCCATGCTGGACGTATTGCTGGTCATCAGCTTGCTTTTCTCCTTTAAAACACATCTCGGGCATCTTTTTCAGGCAGTTTCCGGGATCTGCCCACTGTTTATCCAGCATCAAATTGGATGGCGAATGAATGAATGAATGAATGAATGAATGGTATTCTTTAGGGTTAACCATAGGCCAAATGGTAGAAATTTAGTTGTCTTCTATTTGTCTCTGTTAGAGATCCTGCTCACTGGAGATTCTTGCACATCTTCCTTTCACCCCACCCCCACTTCCCAATGCTGTGAATTCTTCACCTATAGATGCCATACTCCCGTATGAATCCCTTACAGCATGTGTGTTTCTGGGCTAGCCTCCCACCCTGACTTCACACACTTCCGCAGACCTTCCCATGCAAGGCGGGAAAACGGACAGAGCTAACAAGGCCAGAGCCCGCGGGGTGCAGAGCATTTCAAACACAACCTTCTAGACATGGAGGCCTCTGCTGCTTCCCCTTCCCCCCACCCCTCCGCCATGCTCACCTCCCACTCCGCCTCTGGCCAAGCTCATCTGGCTTGGACCCAGTCTTGTATTTTTAACACAAATCTGACCATATTTCCTCTGCTTAAAAGAACGCTCTACCACAGTCCTTAGAGACTACAGAAGAGATGTCAAGTTCCTGGGCATGCAGAAAAGGTGTGTCACCCTGCGACTCTGACCTCAGCCACCCCACCACCTACCAGTGCCTCACCTAGTCCTTAGAGCGAAATGAATCTCTTCCTCATGTCTAAATATTCCAGGATGCTCTCACACACATGCTTTTCTCCTTTGGGGGTTTGCCAAACTTTAAATTTCAATTCACACGCCACTCAGAGGGATCCTCCTGGAGTCTACAGACCTAAAGAGAGCTCGGTCATGCCACCTACCACAACACACCACCTTTGGGATCGTTGCACATGAATTATCATTTATTTTTCTCAAGAAACTCAAGTGTTTAACCTGTCTGCCTCAGGGCCACCATCACTTAGTGTGGTACCTGGTAGAGCTGAGGAGTTGGATAGATTTTTTTTTTTTTTAAGTGGACGGTCTAAGCTGGAGTTTTCCTCTTTTCCCATGTTTTTCCTTGAGTTTTAAGTCTTGAAGAGCAGCATCCTCCAGAGGCCCCAAAAGAGACATCCCATCATCCCCTTTGAGTCCGCACTTCCGTATCCAGTGGGTCGTTAGTTCCGTCTCCTGGACGTTTTGCACGCCCACCCTGCCCTTTACACTTACAGTGACATTGCTCCATCCTCTCTCTCACCCACTCCTCCATGGAGCAAACTTCCTGATTGCCTTCTTCACACTGGTTCCCCAGAAACCAAACAAACCACAATCTAATCTCGACTCGCTCATAATCTACTCTGGAGAACAGACCAAAAGAATGTCAAAAGTGATAAGTCATAAATCCCAAATAAGCCCAATTGGTTGCTTAGAGGTTTAGCTTTTTTGTTCTTTTTTATATTGTGTGTGTGTGTGTGTGTGTGTGTGTGTGTGTGTGTGTGCCCGAGTGCTCATGTGGCGGTCAGAGGACCACTTGTAAGATCCTATTCTCTCCTCCCACCAGCGTGGGTCCTGAGGATGGAACAGGATGCAGGCTCCCAGCAAGGTCTCTCACTTGCTGCATCATCTCACTAGCCCACAACGACTGTTTTGATTAGGAAAAAAAAAATGTGCTTTGGGAAGCTGGAAAGATGGCTCAATAGTTAAGAGCACTTGCTGTCCTTGTAAAGGACCTGAGTCGGGTTCCCAGCAGCCGCAGGGAGGCTCACAACCATCTGTAACTGCAGCTCCAGGCAATCCGGTGCCTTCTTCTGGCCTCTGCAGGCACCAGGCACACCACACTCAGTGCATAGACGTACATGCAGTTTGCCCCACCCCACCCAACTACACTAATGCCCAGCCACTGCTTAAAGACTCTTTAGCTGAGGAGTTTGATAGATTTTTTTTTTAATGGATAGTCTAAGGTCTAAGCTGGAGTTTTCCTCTTTTCTCCAAACTCCCCATCCCTCCGTCTTACACAGAGGAAGGGTCAAAACTCATCCACATGAGCGTCAGGGCCTCACGGTCAGCCCTGTTCTACCTCCCATCTCTTAACTACGAGTCCCTGGTCCAGCCTCACCGTCTCTCTGTGTCCACTGAGCAGTCCTCTCTCAGGACCTTTGTCCTCCAGGGCTGGGGTCCACCTTTGGAGCAAACTTCACATAGAAAGAGGGCACTCACCAGCCTGACGTGTCACCTCACACGGGGATGGGGGTGTCACTCACTGACCCACAAGACTCCTCCTCTACCTGAGACATCTGTTCCCTCCACAGGCTAAGCCTATTATATTTTCTGGAAGCTTCCAAATTGTGATGCTCCATCAGCACCCCACCCCTCACTGCTCATGCAAGCACCTCTACACTTATTTCGGGGTGGGGGTGGGGTGCTAAGAACAGAAAGATAGCAACAGAAATAAAAGCATACGTGTTCCCACTGTGGCTTTTCGTGGTTTCCATATCATTTTTATGAACTCCCCATTCAACTTCCTGTTTCTCTTGGTGGGAAGACAGTTTAGAGGTGCACATTCTCCTTTCAGGGTTGAGGAAAACTGAGGCTGCCTATCTAGTAAACGGCAGAGAGGGACTGACAGTCAGTACGTTCCAGAAATAACTTGCTATTTTTGAGTCATGTGCTCAGGCCGGGGGGGGGGGGGGGTGCCAGCATCTTACCATTGCAGAAATGGAACGGTTAAAATGTTAAAATTGTAGCCGAGTGGCTTCCCTTCCGTCTCAAAGGAACAGCTCTGTGAAGAGTCCCAAATTTATTTTACAACTGCTGCTGCCGGGTGAGACAAAAGCAAGAACGTCTGGAATGAGAAGACTTGCGTCCGAAGGGGTGAGTAGGCAGCTGGCCATGTGAGGGCCTTCCCTCAGGCTGCTTCTCTCCACGGAGTCAGCATGTCGTGGCCCAGAGAGCCTTTTCTGAGAAGACTCTCAGAAGGTATGTGTGCCACCAGACAGCTGTTTTTATACAAAACTAACGGAGAATTCACCTGCTTCAGAAAATAATTTCCCCTCGGGACCCTAACAGCAACTTTAGTTCCTTTTAAAACAAATGTCTTCTAAATAAGGGAGGAACCAGGGGTAGGGCCCTGCTCTCAGGAGGCACCCCTCCACTCCGATGGGACGATCTTCGTGCTGTTAACACCCGGCTGCTTAAGTGTGACCTTCCTATTTTTAAAACCTGAGAGTCTGAACGACCTCATCTCAGTTTTTCTTCCTCAACCTTGACTGGAAGTCACAGACAGCCCAGAAGATTAGTAACCAAATCTTCCAGATTTCATCATGAGACCTTGCGATGGTCAGCATCCATCTCTCCCTCAGGACTGAGGGTGGAGGCAACTACCCTGTGGGAAGACCCCTTCTAGAAGCAGCAAACCCAGGTTGAAGACCGCCAAGCCGAAGGCCTGTAGCCTCTGCTTGGAAGGGCATCTGGGGAGTGGAGGAGAGGAAGAGAAGAGAAGGTGAGGGGTAAAGACACCAGAGAAACAGCAGCCTCCACGTGCACAGAACTGTCTAACTATGAGGTGCTCCCCCCACACT